TATCCACCCTCGCCTGGTACTTGCACACAGACATCCACGGAACAAAAACCTTTGCTATACTGTAGACCTGCATTAGGGACCTTTCAAAACCTGTATTCTTTCGAAGTGACTACTGATTAACATATTTCATTTATCTGCTACGATTCCTAGTATTTTTGCATTCATGCTACCAAGATAGTATTAATGTATTGAGTCTTGATGAAATTCCCTTCGGACATTTCTTCCCAATTAATCTAAGCTCACATATTCTGTTTTGATTTACATGACTTTTTTGCAGGTTTCTGGTTTTGCATTACCCATGAGTTTATTAAATGCATTTTCTACTCTATTCTCCAGTTTGGAAATGCAGAATTTTGTTTCAAATCCATATTTCATAAATAGATTTTTATCCAGGTCTCCATCAGTGAATCAGAGTAAATCAGTCTGGTTACAAATCACTGTAACTTCAAGTTCATTAACTGACACTGTCACTCATCTCACATCAGTGGCTAACTTAGACTTCCATCAATCCAACTTTACTACTTTCTCCTAGGACTGTATCATCTCATTTTTCCTACGGACGGTGATTTTATGAAAGACACATCATTAAACCTCACAGGTTACGAAAGCCCCGTTTAGTTCAGTACTCGAGATACGACACTCCCAGAGGAACTCCCAAGCTTCATCACTGAAATCAAAGAAAGTTTTATATCGACATTCAGCTTTAAAAAAATTTGGCTTACTTCCAGTCAAAACTCTGCTGGTTCAGTACCGTCAAGTAACATGAAAATCGGTTTTGTAAACAAATGGCTTGTACGCTTCCTGAAGTGCAGTAATGGTTCCATGTGACAGTACAGGAATGTGAAACATCGGGCCATACCCTAACGGTGACACCGCCACACTTTTTGTGACTACAAAATTGAAAGACTTCGGACTAGATGGTCCTTCAACACAGAAGTCACAAACAAGTTTGTTCCATGAACACAAAAGCCTATTTACAGAAAAAAAAAAAAAAAAACCACACACAACCTTTCTGGTGCTAAAGATGAAAAACTGAAGAATAAAAACTTCTGAATCTTAATTAAAAATTAAATTCCACAGATTAGCCATGTACAAAAGTGACATATTTGAGTAGCTTCTCTGGTACTCCCACGCAGTTACATCTAACAACATAATAAAGTTAAAGAAAAACCCCAAAACACTCTATGAGGTTGAGCAAGAACAGAAATAGTTTACCTAATTTATAATGGTTATAAAACAGAATTATAGCACCACGATGATGGTTTTACAGACAAAAAGTACTTTAAAAATTTCTGTGTGAGGACGAACTAAAAATTCCTCTAATCTGTGCTCTAAGTGAGTTCATTACATTTCCCTAATTGACTATATTCCAGAGGCAGCTTTTTACTTTCATATTCATTTTTCCTTAATTGCCAAAAGGGTACATCATGTGTACCATCTCCCTTCTATACAAAACAAGCTGTCAGAACTTAAAATGTATTGAAACTCGGCCAAAGCAGCCTTTTATACGCCAGCTGGCAAGCTCTCAAACCACAGATAAGGTCTAAACCACTAAGTGCTTATATTTAAGATGCACAAAGGAAAAAAACACTTGCATAAAAATGACAGAAAACCAAAATACATAGAGTTGCCATTACTCTCATGAAAGCAGCGAGAGCTGCTAGTTACAGCATGTACGGGGAAGAATTATACAGGGCCTCTCGCATCCGCAAAGTCGGGATCAATAGCGTGCGTCCTCTCCCATGGGGAAAGTAGGAGACTATAAACCATTTAAGCACTTCAACACTGTTAGGTACTTCTGTAGATTTGAAAACTATGAGTAAAACCGCAAAGCAGATCGCCCAAGGGCTTCAGACTATCCAAAACGCTGTTTTAGACTATCCAAAGACTTGAGACTATCATCCACCATTGTTACCTAATGTAGCAATGTCACTTGTTAAGAGACGGTTTCTTTATTATTGTTGTTGTAAGTAAATATTTTTATTATTCTCTAAGCTTGAAAATAAAAATACTTCGGACAAGTTGAGAAACACCTTTTTAGAGACAGCATTTCCTCAAAGACTGACCAAGATCCTTTAAAGAACTGTGGTTTTAAAAACATGAATCTCTACTTACTACATGTATGATAACAACAAAAATCTTCTCACAAAAGATTACTCATTACGTAACGATATGAGACATTACTTACAGAAATGGTATTTTAACAAACATTGAATAGAAAAAAGTAAATATACTTGAAGAAATATCTTGAAAGTACAATAAAACCCCTACTAACTATGACTATGTCTGCTATTTTTTCCTACTGAAAAGACTGATTGTAGAGAATTATTTTTTTTAATAACAGCCTAATTGTATTTTCAGTACTAGAAAGGAAAAAATTTGGAATATCTCCATATCCTAAGAGTCTGTAAACTTATTTGAAGGTTAACAGCACCTGTACTAGCAAAACAAAAACTTGGGATTAATAAAGTGAACTGTATTAATAAAGGTGTAGATTAGCTTAAGTAATGTCACCTACGCTGAAGTCTGCCGTTGCCCAGCTTGCTATTCCAGGCAGGTACCACCCCACTTTGGTTGCACATCCGATGCTGCCAAATGTGCAGTCGTAGGCCAAGTTGGGTAACTCCTGCCTGCAGGTGTGGCCTAAGAGCCAACGCGCCCAGCTACGGGGAAAGCCAGCTGGGCCGATGCATTTCACACCGCTGCCGCCCGGAATCCTGCAGCGTGCGGCACTCTCCAACGTCATCCTGCTCTCAGTCACCTCCCGCAAAAAGGAGGACTCCTCTAAACGGACAGATTTTACAGCAGCCTATGAGAATCTTGCAGAAATAGACCATAATTCCAAGAAACACGTCCTACGGTGACCGGAAATAGGCCTGTGGTTTTTTTATTTTGTGCTGCTGTAAATCAGCATAGTCAAATACTATTAGGATCTTTCCCTGGCCTAGAAGTATTTCCTCAGGCGGAGTTTTCCTATCATGTACATGAGAACATCTCATCATCAAGCAGCAGTAGTCGGCCTCTCTCCTGATGGCAAAATCTTCACAGCAACTTACTTTGTCTTTCCAGCAAAGAATACTTAATTCAATATATATTAAAAAAAAGTTTTGCTATAACATAACCTTTCTACTTAAAATGAAAATACTTGAAAAGTTTTAATTTTTATCCTGCCATAATAGATCATTCTTTTGCAAGAATTAGTGTGTGATATGAAGAGGCTATTGAAGTTCCACTGTTTACTGTATCAAACAATTACAAATACTAATTCACTCTTTAAAGAAACACAGTTTTGCTGTGTTTGAGAGATCTAAGCAGAAATTCAGAACTATCTACAGCTCACAGAACAGAGTCGATTCAGGTGTGATCAAATTTATCAGAACTTGTTTACACACTGTCACACAACATGCTCAAGTGAGAAACAGAACTGCTTCACAATGCAATATCTCCCCCAAAAACATTTCTTTAATCCATCCAACAAGTTCCCACGCTATAAGAGACTTCAGCAGATTCATTACTTGATGTACCAAGTATCCTGTACAATGACAGCCTCCATTTGCAGAATTGCAACGATTCTCGTACAGTTAGAAATGATGCTGTGCATTCTTCTGCTTTTTATGTGAGGAGGAAAGAGAGAATAAAGCAATTCAAAATCTGACAAGCCTTGAGGAAATGAATGACGAGAAGGATGGACACAGAGGCAGAGCAATGTGTGATTCTGTGTGAACTGTGACATCATGCACATTGTTACGAATTACGTAAAACAGCCTAAGATTGTACCATGACTGATATTATCAGGTACTGTCACTCCAACAGGGACAGGGTTTCATCCACAAAGGCAAACCCAGAGTCTGGACATACCTCATTCTTCAGTAATTAATGCTAACTTATTCTTTTTAAAAACATATATCGTGATACTCTCTTT